GCACCGCCTTTAATGCGACACACAACACTTTAGCCAGATATCAAATGTAGTATTTGGCCCAGATGCTAATAATGGATGTGTGGGCCATGTAAATTTGGCCTATCTTGACACATTTTTATTATTTTTGGATAAAGGCAAACAAATTCTACCAATCAGGTCTGGCCCAATCTGGCCCATTTCAGGCTCAGTTATGAGTTATTAACTTGGCTGAGACTTGACCCAGATATGGTCCATGTTTGGTTCTTGTCTTGGCTCGCTGGGGCACTTCAGATCATTTTGGAAGGGCACTTTCAAGACTAAAAAGGGCAATGTGTGAGCCCTATGTGCGCACGTGCCAGCATATATGCAATAATAAAATTGCCGTGCCAATATCGCTGCAATATCACTTCTGATTAGACCTTAACTGCATTTTGTACTGGTGCATGTGTAATGACAATAGAGTTTCAATCTAATCTATTCTAAACAGCTTTCCATAACAAACCCTCAACGAATTTACATAGCACTCTTAATAACCTAAGTATAGTTTGACATATGTTTTTATTTTGATATATAATTATATATATATATATTATTTTGGTTTCTTTAAATATTTGCTTTTCTTTTTTCCTTATACTTTGTAACATTTATGTTACTAGATGTACAGTGAATATGTATCATTTGTATTAGGGTCAAATAATATTAGCACAAATTAATATTTTATATATTCCCTGTTACTAAATTTAATAAAAATAATAAATAAATAAATAAATAAATAAATAAATAAATAAATAAATAAATAAATAAATAAATAAATAAATAAATAAATAAAAAGCTCAACGTAAAATGACGCTGTGAGGGCTGTGCAAGTGCGTCACCTAGTGGACAGAGAATGGCATGTCCACACTAGACAGCCACCAAAAATATATCTGACCGCCACTTTACGTAAATACACCATACATTTATGTGTCATATGTATGCAAAATTAAATCAAAACAGCATAATTACTTATACATATATATGTACCACTGTTATTCGAAGTGTAAAATGGTTGATGTGTTCACGAATCCTTATTATTTCATCTGAACGCGTCGATAATACACAGAGACAGCTTACATCTCACCTTCATCCCAAAGCTATCGTGTTTCACAATGACACTCATTATGATTATTCTCTCCTGAATGGACAAGCACGACAGTTTTGCCTTCAGGGACAATTAACAGCGTCCCTTGCCGTTTGCTTTTACCGCCGATTGGCGTCTCCAAACACAAGATGCCCCTTGACTATACGTAACCAAGCAAAGGCTGCTTCCCTTCAGAAAAGGTCGGTAACAAAAGACGTGCTGATGTGCATGTGTGATGGGGGTGGAGGCGATGGAGGTGGTGGGGGAGGAAAGTAATGATAGTAGTAGTTGTAGTGGTATTGGTGGGATGGGGAGGGATTTCTCCATCCTCCCCCAATCCCCAATTGAATGCATTAACGGGTACAGCTGGTCATGGTTCTGTTTTTAAAAAGAAACTGGCCACCTGCATTTGTATAGAGTTTGGAGACAAAGGCTTTGGAAGTTACCGTGGCTGGAATGTAAAGTTTGATTAACAATTGTTGGATGAAGCTTAGAAGATGGGATAACAAAATATCTCTCATTTTCCTTCGGTTTAGTCCCTTTATTCAACAGGGGTCGCCACAGCGGAATGAACCACCACAAAATATCAATGCAGTTCTCATTTTAAATTACTAGTAATTATATTAATTACACATATTTTTATATATTAGTATTTATTTTAGTAGTTACTCATTCAGTGGTTTGTTTTTGCCATTGACTTCTATGGCTATCTGTCATTGAGATATCAACTAAGGGATAGTTCACAACAAAAGTTAAATTCTGTAATCATTTAGTCGCCGTTCATTTTGTTTCAAACCATTATGAGTTTCTTCCTCCTGTTGAACACAAAAGAGGATACTTTTAAAGAAAAATTTAAACCTGTAACCATTGACTTCCATAGTAGGAAATACAACTACTATGGAAGTCCATGGCTACAGGTTTTCAGCTTTCCTCAGCATATCTATAGGAATGACAACATGATGAACTAGCAAAAATAAAAGTCTCAACTTTTAAATTTTTTGTGTAAAAAGCATTAAAAAGCCTTGTTTTTCCATATAGGCCTAGTAGCGATATAACAAATTCCTGTGGTGTCAGTACTTAAAACTAGGAACTAAACAACGTCAACATTACTATACACTACTGTACATTAATGCTCAATATTTACTCACTCTCAAAGTGGTTCCACTTTATCTGTTAAACACAGAAGATATTCTAAGGAAAACTGAAAACCTGTAACCATTGAGTTCTATAGTAGAAAATACAGCTGCTAAGGAAGTTAAGTGGTACAGGTTTTCAGCTTTCCTCAACGTATCTTATGGGATTATATGATAAACTAACAAAACCTTTTAATGTTTTAAGTAAAACACACAAAAAAATGTTTTTCCACAGGCCTTGTTTCTATATAATAGATTCCTGTGGTGTCTGTACTTAAAACTAGGAACTAAACAACATCAACATTACTGTATACACTACTGTACACTCATCGGCCACTTTATTAGGTACAACTGCTTGTTAACGCAAATTTCTAATCAGCCAATCAAATGGCAGTAACTCGATGGGGAAGAAAGGTGATTTAAGTGACTTTGAATGTGGCATGATTGTGCTGATTCACTGGGATTTTTACGCACAACCATCTCTAGAGTTTACAGAGAATGGTCTGACAAAGAGAAACTATCCAGTGAGCGGCAGTTCTGTGGGCGCAAATGTTTTGTTGATGCTGGAGGTCAGAGGAGAACGGCCAGGGCTGCGTTTCCCAAAAGCATCGTAAGCCTAAGAAGTTCGTAGAAATGATCGTACGACTGATCTTAATATTACGGTCTGTTTCCCAAAAGCATCGTAACTTAAGTAGCACTTGAAAATCTTCGTGGATCTACGAGTGCTCTGGAGTAATCGTAAAGCCTTAAGTGCATCGTAAGGAGACAGAGTTATGAGGGCACCTGCTGGACAACCGGCAAATTGCACCTACAATTTACTTCTCTTTAAAGTCATTATTCATTTTATTTGTACGTATATCTCTATTCATTTATATTTTCTACACATTACACAATTCAATATACAAATAATAATAATTAATAATTAGGCTAAACTTTTCAAAAATAAATGTAAGAGCTTATTTATTTATTTATTTACTTATTTATTTATTTTGATGTGAGATAAGCAATTTTTGATAAAGAAATTGATAAATAATTCTACTTAATTAAGGTTTCATATAAATATCGAAAATGATGCTGATGTCATTTCCGGCAAGGACTGTTAGAATTAGTTTTATGCGAGATTGGAGCAAGACAGTGTTTTTACAGTACGACATTTCCAGTTAATTTATGTTTTTAAACTGGCTCAAAAATATTTTTTTTTTATGTTATTCGAGTTGAATATACATTCACACAAGTAGAAGAAGAATTATATGGATTGCTATAACATGTGCAACAATAACGAGCCATTCTATAGCGTGACATTTCAGCACTTAACAAACGGATAGCGACTCCTAAGTTGCACTTAAAGCTGGGCTACGTGCAATTGTGTTAAGTGCATTTTTGGGAAACGCACGTGAAACAATAACGAACGTTCGCAAAATGACTCGTAGAAAACGCTCTTAAGTGCTAAGATCAATCGTTATCGGGAAACGCAGCCCAGACTGGTTCCAGCTGATAGAAAGGCAGAAGTCACTCAAATAACCACTCGTTACAACCGAGGTCTGCAGCAGAGCATCTCTGAATGCACAACAAGTCCAACCTTGAGGCAGATGGGCTACAGCAGCAGAATACCACAACGGGTGCCACTTCTGTCAGGCTACAATTCACACAGGCTCACCAATATTGGACAATAGAAGATTGAAAAAAACTTTGCTTGGTCTGCTGAGTCTCGATTTGGCTGTGACATTCGGAAGGTAGGGTCCGAATTTGGCATCAACAACATGAAAGTATGGATTCATCCTGACTTAAATCAACAGTCCAACCCAGTACTAGTAATGTGTACCTAATAAAGTGGCCGGCGAGTGTACATTATACTGTTCAACCTAAAAAATTTATTTACTCACCCTCAAAGTGGTTCCAAAACTTTATCTGTTGAACACAGAAGATATCTGAAGGAAAACTAAAAACCTGTCACCATTGTGTTCCATAGTAGGAAATACAAATACTATAGAAGACAATGGCTGCAGATTTTCAACTTTCTTCAACGTATCTTATAGGATGATATGATGAACTAACAAAACCTTTTACTTTTTTAAAATAAAAAGCATAAAAATTGGATATAGATTTGTTTTTTCATAAGCCTAGTAGCTATATAATAGATTCCTGGGGTGTCAGTACTTAAAAATATTAACTAAACAGCATCAACATTACTGTATACACTACTGTTCAACCTAAAATGAAAAATTAATAAGTTTTTACTCTCCTTCAAAGTGATAACAAAACTTTATCTGTTAAACACAGAAGATATCCGAATGAAAGCTGAAAACCTGTAGCCATTGACTTCCATAGTAGGAAAAACAAATACTCTGAAATTAAATTGTGACAGGTTTCCGACATTTAAACATAGGAACAAAAGTGGATGTCAAAGTCAACATACTTCAAAATATCTTCTTTTGGGTTTAACAGAAGAAAGAAACTCAAAAAGGTTTGGAACATGAAGAGGATGAGTAAGTGATGACAGAATTTTCATATTTGGATGAACTATCCCTTTAACAGGCCTATTACTAGTAGGCTACCATGAAAACAAATAGGCGGTCTATAGTTTTTTAGGCTAAATAGGTTTTATAAACTAAAAGGTTTAAATGAATAAAACTATTTTCTTGATCACGAGCTGACCATGTTGTGTATGAGACCTCATTTCCTTTAGTCTTTTTAAGGTAATTTCCTTGACGTAGCTCATATGCAATGCCGCTTATCGCCAGTATGCGGCAGTAGAGGACGGTGAAATTTACCCAGTCAAACGGTTGACGATTTATTTGTAAGGAATGCTTTTCAGTTTGCCATATCCACCGAGAACTCATGGAGTCTGCAAGTCTGTGCAGTGTAGTGTGTGCCGCAAGGCTAGAAATGTTAATGAAGAAATAGTTAAACGCACATAGACGAAACAGTTAGCTTTCAATTTTACATTGTTAGCATGTGTGGACTGTGTTTACCAGTCAATTTAAATAACAGTTTCAGCTTTTCATCTGTCAGAGAAAGTAAAAATAAATGATTTGGAGACATTTTAAACGGAATATCCACCGAATATGGTTGTTTTATTAGCCTACTACACCCGTCCTTCTGGTAAGTAGCCTATATAATAGCCATATTTCGTAAAGAGTCAACATATTTGAACTTACAGACAAACACTATTAATAATTGAGGTAAAGTTGGTTTTGTATTAGCACATTCGTTCAGTGACAACTTGTAACATGTTTACTACATTTGTTTACATTATACTTTGAATATTCGGTCTGAAATCGCATGCAAGACTTTAAAACAACATTAGCACTGTTTAATTGACTCAGTCATTAGCTGCTAAGATACTTTCTGAAGATATACTATTAAAGAGAAAGTCCGAATGTGTGATTATGAAACCAAATTGACCTTAACCCAGGTTGTTAGTTTCAGTTTTACTCGTTTAATGCTATTTATTATCCATCATTTGCTTCTCTTATTCAGTTAGCGTCTCCTTTCTAACACTCACTTCCTTATTTCTGTTTATTTCCTCAAGTACATCTCTCTGAGCATTATGACAAACTTTCGTATGCCAGAAACACGTCGTCATGTCGTTTGTCAGGTTAGACTAGGCAACGACAGGTCACCGAATATCAGCAGCCAGTATTTTTGACGTGTATTTGCATGTATGGTTTGATAGATGGGCGTCATGCTGTTGTCACATACCAGCAGAGATGCTGAAGCCTCAGATACTCAAGCTGCTGCCTGCATATTGAGATGCACTTCATTGAAGGCTGGTCGACACCTGCCATCCGGTCTAGACTGAGGCTGAGCAGCTCTTATCAAGATCAAAGCACCGCCGTGCACGGAAAAACCGGGAAATGTAAGAGTGAGAGAGAGGTAAGGGGATGAAACAGTATGACAAAATGTGAGGCGAATTAGGAGATTCAGCAGCATGTAGCCTACAACACTGAATATTTAGTATTTTGTATAGAGTTTGTACAGTTTTTGAGTTCTCTGCTGAAAAGAAGACACCATCACAGACTTTTTACTACAAATACTCTTACAAAACATCACATTTTAACAGGTAAAACCATTTTATCTATTGTGTTTTGATTACATTACAGTAGGCAATACATTAGAGACCCAATAAGCAGATTGTTTTCATTATAACCATTACTAATTCTATGAGGGTTTCTATTACATTCAAGCAAATACCATCAAAATATTACAAATATCAAATTTTAACCATTAAAACCAGGACAGTTTGATGGTTTCTACTGTGTTTTGATACACATTCCAGTAGGCAATACAAACTGAGGACAGTTTAATGGTTTTTACTGTTTGCTAAATATATTCCAGTTGGAAATACAGACCCAATTGGAACATATTGTTTCCATTAAAACCAATATAATTTGCATTATAACCATTACTAATTCTATGATGGTTTGTACTATATTGAAAAACTGGGAAATGTAAGTTTGAGAGAATGGAAAGGGATAAAACAGTATGAAGAAATGTGAGGTGAATTAGGGGATTCACAGACTTTTTACTACAAATACCATTAAAAACCATCAAATTTGAACCATAAAAACCATATTAACTATTGTGTTTTGATTTATATTTTAGTTGGCAATGCATTAGAGACTCGTTAGGAACATTTTGTTTCTATTAAAACCAATGTAATTTGCATTATAACCAATACTAATTCAATGGTGGCTTCTATTATATCCAAGCAAATACCATCAAAACATTACAAACCATCCAATTTAATCATTAAATCCAGAACAGTTCAATGGATTCTAGTGTATCTAGTGTGTTTGGCTCATATAGTATAGCAGTAAGCAATGCATTAGAGACCCAATATGCACATATTGTTTCCATTAAAACCAATATAATTTGCATTGCAACCATTATTATACGATGGTTTGTATTATATTCAAACAAATACCATTAAAACATTACCAACCATCACATTTTAACCATTAAAACCAGTTAGTATATATATACATATACATACATACATATATAAATATTCCAGTAAGCATTACATTAGAGACTCAATTGGAACATATTGTTTCAATTAAAACCAATATAATTAGCATCTTAACCATTACTAACTCAAAGGTTCTATTATATTCAAGCAAATACCATCAAAACATTACCAACTATCAAGTTTCAACCATTAAAACCAGAACAGTTTAATGGTTTTTACTGTGTTTGCTATATATATTCCAGTTGGCAATACATTAGAGACCCAATATGAGCATATTGTTTCCATTAAAACCATTATAATTTGCATTATAACCATTACTAATTCTATGGTGGGTTCTGTTATACTCAAAAACTGGGAAATGTAAGAGTAAGAGAAAGGTAAGGGATAAACAGTATGACAAAATATAAGGTGAATTAGGAGATTTGGCAGCATGTGGCCTACAACACTAAATATTTAGTATTTTTTGCAGAGTTTGTCCTTTTTTTGAGTTGAATTCATTATTTAATGTTGTCTCTGCTGAAAATAAACGCACCATCACATACTTTTTACTACAAAAACCATTAAAAAACACCAAATTTTATACATTTTAACCATTGTGTTTTGATATATATTCCAGTAAGCAACACATTAAAGACCCAATATGAACATATTGTTTCCTATAAAACCAATATAATTTGGATTATAACCATTAATAATTCTATGGTGGTATCTATTGCAGCCAAACCAATATAATTAAAACATAACACACCATCAAATTTTAAACTTTAAAACCAGGACAGTTTAATGATTTCTATTGTGATTGTTTTATATATATTCCAAGAGGCAACACATTAAAGACCCAATAGGAACATAATGTTTCCATCAAAACCAATATAATTTGCATCATAACCATTACTAATTCTATGATGGGTTCTATTATGTCCAAGCAAATACCATCAAAACATTACAAACCCCCAAATTTTAACTATTAAAACAAGGACAGTTTAATGGTTTCTACTGTGTATATATTCCAGTAGGCAATACATTAGAGACCCAATATGAACATATTGTTTCCATTAAAACCAATATAATTTGCATTATAACCATTACTAAATGTATGATGGTTTCTATTATATTTAAATAAATACTATTAAAACATTACAAACCACCAAACATACTCATCACAACCAGGACTGTTTAATTGATTATGGTGTGTTTTGGCTCATATAGCAGAAAGAAATCCATTAGAGACCCAATAAGCATATTGTTTCTATCAAAACCATTATAATTTCCATTATAACCATTACTAATTCTATGATGGTTTCTATTATATTCAAACAAATACATCTAAAACATTACAAACCATCAAATTTTAACTATTAAAACCGGGACAGTTTAATGGTTTCTACTGTGTATATATTCCAGTAGACAATACATTCGAGACCCAATAGGAACATATTGTTTCCATTAAAACCAATATAATTTGCATAATATCCATATCCAATTCTATGATGGTTTCTTTTATACTTAAACACCATTTAAACATTACAAACCATCGAAGTTAATTATTAAAACCAGGACAGTTCAATGGATTATAGTGTGTTTGTGCACCAAGCAACACATTAGAGACCCAATAAAACCAATATATTTACATTATAACTATAGACATTCTATAAAGGTTTCCAATATTTGGTGACTACTGTATAAGCACATGTTAGAGTCTCAAAATGTGGCTGATTAAGTCTTTAACATGCGCACTCGTTTTCTTGCACTAAACCACAAGCATTCAGCCTCCTCAAACCTGACCCTGAGAAGCCTGAAATAGACGCCTACTTAGACATGACATCAGCCAGTGTTTTAGCCAAACACACACATCTGCCGAGCCAAATGACCTACGCTTACAAGTCTGTTGGGGAAATCTCAGGCAGTGAGGATGCAGATGTAAGAGAGCTTGCATGTGTTAAAAACCTCTTCTGGCAGGATCGCATCTACAGTTGTCTTTTCTTAACCGTTGACGTGCATGTGGAAGAGGTTGTTTTCAATCAAGTGGTTCTGGTGATGCGCAAAATTCAGATAGAGGGCAGGAAGTTAAAAACTGAATAGGAAACATTGGGGAAAGTCCATATTTTTGCGATTTATACCATATTTCTAAGGAGATATAAATAGAAAATAAGCACATTTGTTGGGCATGATCCTTATATCATGAAGGGGACCCAAGTTTTCGACTGAACTCAAGTATATTTGCCTGCATTTGAGGCAGTAGATAGCTACTGTAAGCTATAACATGAAACAAGTGTTAAAGTATTATAATATTTTGAAGCATATTTGAATTAAACTGTTGTAGTAATTATATTGTTATGGTACAACACATCTGTAGTACTTAACAAATAATTCAATAGGCTTCAGTTTCTATAATTATACACAATGCACCACTGTTTATCAGTTTACTATGCTGCAGTACTCTGTAGCATTCATTAACAAAGAGCTGTACACAATATACACTTTACTATAGGGTTCAAAAACATATTATATATTACTAGTTTATTTTCCATGCGTATAGCGTTATATCTTCCAGACAGATCCGTGAAAAGCTGATGAAAGCACTCAAACACGTAGATGCATAGTCCAAACTCCAAGCAGAGTAGTCCAAATTCGGTTCTGGAGGGCCGGTGTCTTGCACAGTTTAGCTTCAACTTCATTTACCACACCTGCCTGGAGCTTTCTAGTACACCTAGGCTGTTTCTCAATTCCAAGAACGCAGAGACTAGAACTTGCATTCTTGTGGAGACCGGTCTTGCCAGGTGTTCTCGGAAGAACGAACTCTGGACTACACGAGAACAGAGAACGCGACCTGTGAGGAATGAGATGCTGCGTTCTTCCTGATGGTCACGTGACCTCCATGCGTTTTAAATGGAAAATTATTTAAACATTACAGCATTCATACAACGATTTATTGCTTTTCCCCTTTTCAAAATATATACTCTGCATAAAAACATAAATATGCATTGCACAATATAAATAAAACTGATTTTAATACGAATTTCAGCAAACAAACACCCTTAATGTGTTTATTCCTTTATTAAGATGTCCATGGTAATGTTTATATTCACCGTTTTATTTAGGGAAGCTCCTGAGGTAAGTAAGTTATATCTTTAATAATAAACCTGTGTAAAATGCTGCTCTTCCCACCTCCAGTCGCAATGACTTCTGGGACTTTTAGAACGAGATCGATGCTCAAGTCTGCATCGTTGCATCCTTGATATCAAGAACACATCCGGGAAGTTTCACGCGTCCTCCGTACTTGCAGTCTTGAGTATTGGAACTGAACTTTGGCAGCTGATGAAGACGTTACACGAGAACGCAAGACCTCTGAAGAACGCATATTGAGAAACAGCCCTAGAAAGAGCTATATTAGCTGGTTCAAGTGTTTTAATTGAGGTTGGAACTAAACTTTACAGGACAACGTCCTTCCAGGACCGAGTTTGGACATCACTGGTCTACATTATTATTATTATCATCATTATTATATATTACATGTGGATGGTAAAAAGTGTTCCACAATAATAACCGTCTTGTTTTCCTTGTAATGGTTGCATTTCGATTTGTTAAGTCGATGAACTTACCATCAATCATTTAATGCTGCTGCATATCTCGATGTTAACGTTACAGTTGTTTATTTCGCAAAAATGTCAATAAAGACATGGATTATTATTGCAAAACAAGACGGACATTTCATTGCAGGGCATATTATTTATGTTCTTCTGGATTTTGTTTACATTAGATGGTGTTTGTATCTGATTTTTATATAATGTAATAACATGTAATACACATAGCTAGGCCTGTATATAGTAATTATTAGTGCAGTCACGTGAATTATCGTGTTCAAAAAAGTTTGTACACGTTAAAATAGTGAATGAATGTTGCTACATATTGAATATATTGTTTTTAAGCCAGTTTCTTGAGTTTTCCCCCTTTTTTGAGCAAAAACTTTTGAAAGCCTATTGGCATTTATCATTTTGGTCAATTTAAATAATTAAAAACAACATAAAACAAACATGTTTATCTGCTGATAGCGATTACTATGTAGAAGAATCACTTCCTGCCTTTCATCTGAAAGTGCTCCACAATAATAGCCGTCTAGTTTTGTTCCCAACGGTTGCATTTCTTTTTGTTTTTCAACGCTGCTGCTCATCTCAATGTTAATGTTATTCATTTCGCCAAAACAACAGTAAAGACTTGGATTATTGCGAGACAAGACGGAGATTTCATTGCAGTGATTGCATGGCAGGGTATGTGATTTGTGTTTTTCTGGATTTCATATACGTGTGATAGTGTTTGTATTTTATTTTTATTTAACTCATTAACATTATACACATAGTTAGGTCTGTTTATAATATTTTTTAGTGCAGTCAGACTAATTATGGTGTTCAAAATAGTTTGTACACATGAATATATTGAATGAGTGTTTATTGCATGCCGCCCTTTCTTCCCTTTTTAAGCCAGTTTCTTAAACTTTCCCACCTTTTTTGAGCAAAAACATTTGTAAATCTATAAAAGCTGTTCGGCATTTACCATTTTGGTCAATTTAAATAATTATAAACAACAAAAAACAAACATTTTTATATTGTGATAGCGATTACTATGTATAAGAATCACTTTCTGAGTCCTACCTTTCATCTGAAAGTGCTCCACAATAATAACTGTCTAGTTTTGCTCGCATCAGTTGCATTTCTTTTTTAGTCGATGAACTAACCGTTTAATGCTGCTGCTCATCTCGATATTAATGTTATGGTTGTTCATTCCACCAAGTAAAGATTTGCATTATTGCAAAACAAAACAGATTTAATTGCAGGGCAGGGTATGTTCTTCTCGATTTTGTATACGCTTGGTTGTGTTTGCATCTGTTTTTATGTAATGCATTAACATATAATACACATAGCTAGGCCTGTATAAAGTAATTATTAGTTACTACACATATACTATAACATATACACATGAATATATTGAATGAATGTTCATTACACGCCACCTTTTCAAGTCAGTTTCTTGAACTTTCCCCCCTGTTTGAGCACAAACTTTTGAAAGCCTATAAAAGCTGTTCTGCATTTATCATTTTGGTCAATTTAAATAATTATAAACAACAACAAAAACAAACATTTTTATATTGCGATAGCGATTACTATGAAGAAGAATCACTTCCTGAGTCCTACCTTTCATCCGAAAGTGCTCCACAATAATAACTGTCTAGTTTTGCTCGCAACAGTTGCATTTCTTTTTGTTTAGTCGATGAACTTACCGTTTATTATCTTGATATTAATGTTACGGTTGTTCATTCCACCAAAACGACAGTAAAGATTTGCATTATTGCAAAACAAAACAGATTTAATTGCAGGGCAGGGTATGTTCTTCTCGATTTTGTATACGCTTGGTGGTGTTTGCATCTGTTTTTATGTAATGCATTAACATATAATACACATAGCTAGGCCTGTATATAGTAATTATTAGTTACTACACATATACTATAACATATAAACATGAATATATTGAATGAATGTTCATTACACGCCACCTTTTCAAGTCAGTTTCTTATACTTTCCCCCGTTTGAGCACAAACTTTTGAAAGCCTATAAAAGCTGTTCTGCATTTATCATTTTGGTCGGCTTGAACATTTATAAACAACACAAAACATAAACATTTTTTATCTTCTGATCATGATTTCTATGTAGAAAAATCACTTCCTGCCCTCTATCTGAGTCTTGCACATCATCAATGACACCATGTGGAAACAACCTTTTGGTTTAATGACTTGCACAGGATGTAGATTTACTAAAAACTGCTTTAATATGGGTGATGACTTGAAATAAAAAAATCAAGCATCATTGAAATTCCTCTTTTTAAAAGTGCTGAAAATGAAATATAATAAATTTAACATATTGATGATCTGTTTTTATACAATTTAAAGAGATAGTTCACCCATAATGGAAGATTATCACTTACCTTTTACTTGATCAAACCTAAAGGAGTGTTTATTTAACAGAAAATCTGTTCATTTACTAGTTTAATGTGTAGCTGATGTTAACAGTCATTGAATAATATACCAAAACTAGCGTTTCCCAGGCTTGATTTGACCCGACACAATTAAAATGGCAAAATATATTTGATTTTGAAACAAAGAACAGGTGTAACTCACAAAATAAAAGTCAAGTTTATTGTTGAACAACAAACTCCACACATACAACAAACAGGCCAAGGTAAAACAAATAATGTAGACAAAACGAAATCGAAAGAAACCAAAACTCCTTTTCTTTGGCCTAGCCCTCCCATACAAAAAAACTAGTTTATGGTACAACTAGTTATGGTACAACTAAAGTTCATACATAAAATTTACTGGAATGCTCTGAGTTCGATGGCTGTTGATTTTTTTTTTCATTTAATATATGTCGTCTATGTTGAAATATCGAGACATGGTCAAACAAGTAAAATTTCTTAAAGAAGCACCGTTTTGGTCACAGGAGATCATGATAAAGTGGCTGATCTCTTCACAATATGTACAAAAATATAAAATGTAAATAAAAATACAAACAAATCCTTGTCTTGCGTATTTCATTGTGAATGCTGGAAATCGAAGTTGTGGCCGGTCCTCTAGAAAATTTTGAATTGGGGGTCAGTTTGGTTGGTATGGGTGACAAACTTGAAAATGACCATGTTTTATGTATTTGAGTCCATTATGCCACTGGCTCCAACAGATGGGTTGAAGTAGAGGCATCTACACCTGCTCAGCAATATGAAACAATCCTTTTAATTAACCTTCTGCTTCTTGGGGTCGACGTCATCCTGAAAGAAAACACGATTTTAGTAAAACATATTTTTTCTTTAAAACATGCAAGGAGTGATGACTCCAGAAATAATGATGGTACCTCATCATCTTCATCCTCATCTTCATCATCATCAGCACCCCGCTTTGTTCCTCCACCTAGGTCTTCATCATCATCATCCTCGTCCTCATCCTCATCACCTGCAATACACAACAATTAGCCATTGATTAAAAAGTGTTGAATTATGGTAACATCAGCAACATCAAATGTTGCACCTACCCTCTCCTTCTTCGTCATCTTCATCTACCTCATCGTCATCTTCATCATCAATTTCTGGCTCTCCGTTCTCCTCGTTCTCCTGTTTACAGATTCACCAAATGCTTAGGTGAACACTGCATTTAACGCTTAAGCAGTAAAGAGGTCAAGCACATTTACCTTTCCATTAGTAGCATCTTTTCCGTTTTCCTTCTCCTCGATGAGCTTCTTCTCCTTCAGGTCCTAAACGGAAGAAAAACAAACATTTGTTTTTTTTTTATGACAGGTACTTTGACACATTTAACTTTGCCAGAATTGGAGCCATCTGTGTCCAATAGGCAGTCTCAATGCAGATTACGACTGACGTGAGCAAAACGCCCCCTATGCGCACAAATTTAAATTGCACCTATAATGACGCCCCTCTGACATTGACGCCTCATTGGCTGCAGCAGAGAATTTCGCCTGTCCATCAACGACTCCTGCACTCCCGCCTCTCATCGAAAGAGCTCGTTTGTAATCTGACACTTTAGTGGGGATTCGGCGGCTGGGGTTATTGTGTAAGGAAATTCTAATAAACAACCACACTTCGGCGCGATTGCTTGGGTTTTAGCGACGGAAAACACGCTGTATCAAAGATACACGCTGGATAATTCAAATATACAGGGTTGTGGTTCCCACAAGCGGATTTCGAACTCTAATGAAGGACAAAGAAGCGCAGGCATGGCTTTCACAATCTCTTCATCCCCCGAACACGACAGAGTTCGGCATGCCCGCCACCGCCGCCGTCACGTTAACCTGGATTTCGTTCGCGCAGTCGCAGAATTGACAAGAAATCTTCCGCGCAAAAACACACACACACACACACACAACCTGTCATAATGTCAGAATATCATGTGCTTATCGCATTAGCGCTGACGGGTCTCGTTTCAATGTAAGCACACAAAGAGCTGTTAAATGAGTCTTACCCATGCAAATATTTTCATTAATTCGTTTATATAATCTTTAGCCCTTAAGCCGTTTATCAACCACATCAACTAGGACCGCCCCCTTAAATTCACCGACGTCCCTGGCTTCAAACTAGTAAACCAACAAGCCCACGTTGCCGTTACACACGGAAAAATGTAAACTATTGAGAAATATATTAGACAGATTTTGGGGGGGACTCGCACATCAAGCGCCCCTGTGAGTTTAAAGGGCTTTCAGGTACGAGACACCACGAGTAGAATATTAAAGATATGTCTGTGTAAAATATTAAACAGGAAATAAAATGTATATACATTTCACTTTTATTATCCGTACAATGAAATGGGTTAGCCCATTCCGGCGGTGAAATCCGATGGACTGCAGCGTCGATTCAAGTTCCGCGTATCGGCTGCATCAGAATCAATCGGAGTTTGCCACAACAGTGGGTACTTACAATAAATCACTAGACTATTAAACGTTCATGATTCTTCATTTCACAACTGTTTGTGATTTAATTGTGTACTATTTAATTTCGACTGAAGCACCATGGAGCCAGGGATAAACCGGTAAACTTTCAGCCCCGAAGCGACCTACCTACCCATCAACGCGGCTTTGGAAACCCGCGGTAATGCATGTTTGCTACAAACTAACCCTTAATGAATGAACGGATTGGGGAATAAACGTCTAGTCAAAACGCTGCACGAAGCCTACCCAAGCCATAAAATCATACCCACAAACAAAATGCGAGTAATTTGTGTAACAAATATGCTTAAGAGCTGGAACGCGAAATGCAAAGAGTGGCAGGTTTAAGGATTTATCACGGTTGTCGTCCGCAGCTCACATCGCCGCTGTTCAAAGGGGAACCGACACGCTTGTATAAACAAAGAACCCGCGCGCGCAGACTGTTACATTCCGGACAATGAGAAATTGCGTTCGAATGTGTTCCAGTTCCGAACGCGCTACAATGTATCCATTTACATTCCTCGTCAATTTAAATCTCCCACGGAGCCGTTATCGAACACTTTTCTTTTAATCTTTAAAAAAAAGGATCAACGGCTCTTTCCGGCTCCAGCCAAAAATAGACTCCGCGTTCACGTTCAATCTGAACTAGAACAACAAATGTAAGAGTGAACGACCATTTCGTTCATTTATCCGCGTGGTGTTCTTACCTTTGCGGAGATTTCCGTTGCGGAGTCAACCTTTGCATCTGCCATAATTAATGTTGTGTATCAATAGAATTGGAGCGCAGGAAAATGCGAGAATAATCCGCCTGTGTCCCCCGACAATCACTATTGTAATGAAGCTTTCTTATGCCGACGGCATGTGATGAAGGAGCCTTTAATATAGATTTGTAGGCGGAGCATTAGAGGCGGGTGCATGCGTTTGATAGGCCAACACGCTCCATAGGGCGTGTCTTCAGCGCAGTAGAGTGGAACAATGGAAAGCTAAACGTAAAAAGACACACCCCCAGCCGGCCAACAGAGAGGACACACCTCCTACCTCCGCTTTTCTCGCATACAGACACATCTGTGCACCGCAATTTTACATTTTCCTCAACAAAAGTGTGGACACGACATACTAACTCTTACGTTTGATGTTCTTGTGAGCTCATTAAGTCTTTTACGTAGCAAACGTCTCCTATCCACTGGCGTTTAAACGTTCCTGACCCCTAAATCACCCCCAAACACGACACCTTCATGTTTGGTAGATGTGTAGTCAACATTTGGAAAAGTGAATCACGTTAGAGAAATGTTTTTAAAGCGGTGATGGGGTGGAATTTGGGAAGCGGTGTGTTTTCATGCCAGATGCAGCCCCTCCCCTTTCCGTGAATTTCGCACTAAACTTAGCACTAGTTAAAAAGCAAAAACACCTCTTTCTCTCTTTCATCTGATAAATTAAATGAGAAGAAGCACACATGCTAAAACATCACCGGAAATGTCGAGTTTGTTGCATGAACTACTTCGCAACAAGACGGACAAGTTTATGGTAATAATCTTATATTGTTTACCCCATTAAAAACCTAACAACACGGTGTAAGGTGCATCTGCTAGCGTTCTTTTTTTTTGAAGTCTTTCAATGGCATTTCTCAATTTGGACTCACGCATTTAAAAACCTCAAACTACACGCGTCTCATCCTTTATCATCCGGGATGAGTTGCATTTAAACAAAGCAGAAGCCATAACCTCGCCGGCGAACATAGAGGGGAGGGGAATTACAGAGACTTCATCATAACCTACATTCAAATTCTACTTTGATGACGAGTCTTATTGCGGGCGCGCGCATCTGATTGGTTGTCGAGACGATTTGTGTTGACGGTTGACGCTTTGCGCGCAACTATTGGACGCCTGAGACGTCAATAAAAGAAATGACCCACAGTACGCGGGAAAGCCTGGAAAGTGGATTCGGAAAGATCCCTGGCCTGGAAAGCGGTTTATAAGAAGAGCCAAGGTGGGCGTTTGTAAATAAGTGCTGTGGCATCACAGTTTGGGGATAAATATGTACACTTTTGAAATGACAAAGAGGAAGGCCTTGTTTATGAACTAAATTAACAAATATTGACGAATAAATAATGATTTTGCTGTAGGCTAAAATTAGACTGATACTAAAAGCTTGGCACACCTAGCAAAAACCTGTTCAACTAACACATGCAGGCCATCCTGCCAATCTAAACAGATAGAATGGGAAAAATACGTTTGCTAATAAGACAGATAAGCTATAAAGGACATCATCAACTAATAACAATAGCATTTAATAACAAAACTTAATAACAATAATACAAATATATCATATATATATATATATATATATATATATATATATATATATATATATATATATTTT